TTTTCCAACCTAAACAACTCTATAATTCTATGACAGTGGCTTCTGAAAACTGTACAGAGTAGCAATACAGGCAGGGCATGTGTCATTTTAATTTTATGTTATATTAAAGAAGAAAGCCAAGGGGAATTGTGCTTGTCAGAGCACTGTTCTTTTTTGAGAGTGGTGGGCTCTAAGGCTGAATCTGCCCTTCAGAGCTGTGATGAGGCAAGTCCACGCCTTTTACCTTCACCGTCCATGCCCTTCGGATCAGTTGTTTCCACCGCTATTGTCTCTGCTCACCTTCTTTCCAAATGCCTCTCCAGCTGTGTGTGGATGTATAACCACAAACTGATTCAACCAGAAGGAACCCCTGGAAGTTCCTATTCCAACCCCTTGCTCACAGCTACAGCAGGTTGCTCAGGGCCATGTCTGGACAATCCCCAGAGATGGAGATCCCCCACCATTCTGGGCCCTTTCCCATGACTTCACCACCCTATTGGTGAACATTTCTTTCTGGAATTTCCCTTCTTATTACTTTGGCCCCTTTGATATTGTTACTGTGTTTCTCCAAGAGGAGTCTCATACCTTATCCTCTAGAACCGTCTGTTGGATAGTGAAGGAGTAATGTTTGGCAGCCCCCAGCTTCATCTTCTCTTCTCTTGGCTAATAAGCCCAGCTCCCTGATGTTCTCCTTCTATGCCCTGGGTACCAGCCCCCCACCATCTTATTAACCTCTGCTGGACTCTTCATTTTGTCATTCATACTGGGGACCCCAAACTGAACGCAGTGGTCCAGGTGTGGCCTCATCAGTGCTGGGCAGAGGCGAATAATCTGTGGCAGTGCAGCTCCGGGTACAGTTGGTGTTCATCACTGCAAGGACGTGCTGCTGACCCACAATCAGCTGGTTGTCCAGCAAGAACCTCTGGCTGTTCTCTGCAGTGCTGCTCCTCAGCCAGTGGTCCCAGCCTGTGCCATTGCATGAGATTGTTGGTCACAGATGCAGTTACCTCAACAATTCCGGTTAAACTCTTTGTGCTTTTGAGATCAGAGGTTTCTCAAGCAAGTCACTGAAGTGGGTGTTTCTTCCATTACCTCCTGGAAAGTGGATCTCTCTACAGGGTCCCCTCCGTGTAGGAGACTTTTGGACTCTAAGCCACCATGTACCTTGTATCTTCCTGAGTTCAGTTCTCCTTCCCTGGAGGGTTGGGTTTGGTTATTCCTTTTTAGATTGTGGATCATTTGGGTTTTCATTTCAGGATATTTCAGGATGTAAACTTTTAGTTCTGTGGTGGAATGGCCTTGTGTCTTCACGGGAGGGAGTCTGCAGCTGACATGGAGATATGTGACTTAGGATGGTCAGCTAATCAACTGCTAACTTCATTACGTTTAACAGCATAGCTTGTGCAATTAATCTGTGTCAGCTTTCTGTCTCACATCTACACTTTTAAATTTTAGCTACTTCTGTGGATAAAGGTGAGTGCATGGGAGGATCAACCCTGAGCTTACTCCACGACAAGACTTTCAATTACACGGGGGACAGCCAGGCCCAGGAGCTGTGCCTGTATTTAACCAAGGCGGCCAGCGTGCCTTATTTTGAAATTCTGGAAAAGTGGATATATCGAGGCATCATTAATGATCCATACAGGTAAGGAACAATTAAGGAATTAAAATGGAATGCAAAAGTTAAGAAATACTGATCAGGTCTTTGGCTTCTACGTTTTTCGTGCACCCATCCCTCTATTCTGTAGAATCTGCATGGCCAAGGGGCCTGGACCTGGCAGCAGTAGGTAGACAAGGCAGCATCGCAAGGAAGGGGAGCTGCTGGAGCGTGTTAACTACAGTTCTTATTTGATTCACTGGTTATACAGTCAGAGACACTCACTCGCTTTATTTTTCCAAATTCAAGGAAATTATGTGCAATAGTCAATGGCACAATAGTTCAGATATGCAGTCCACTCAAATTCCACCTTACCATGCTTGTTCCCCTTTAAGTATTCTCCTCTCACATCCTCATCCTCTTCGTGACAGGGGTGAGCCCTCTTGTCATGGGGCACGAATGTGATACCTCAGTGAATCTATGTTAAATGTAGTGCGCTAACATGCTAATCTGATACGAGCTAAAAACACCGTGAAATTTCTTGGATTTTGTAGAATCATTTGAAGCATTTTGCTGTGTTTAATAGTTTATGCAGCATTTCTGTTTCCCACATTTTCAGAATCCTAAGGGGAGCAAAACTGAAGTTAAAATAGCTAAAATTAGTGCCTTCCTGATGGTGAGAAGGCAGACAAGGGCCAGCTTCCTCACCTCTACGCTGAAAACCAAATAATGTTTAGACTTGGTTTGTGAACACAATAAAATTCTGTTTCTGTTGTAATTGATTGCAGATTAGCAGAAACACTCTGTGTAATGCTTTTCCTCTTACCTCAAATACAGACTAATTTCAGTTCTTGATTGGAATGTATTTTCATGAGACCTTATTTCTTATAGATCATATTACCAGTTTGCAGGTCAAAAAAGTAATCCTCATTGTACCACTTCCTGCTTCTAAACATCTGCTTTAACTGTTCAGTGAGTTCATGGTGGAGGAACATGAGCTGCAGAAGGAGAAGATTCAGGAAGACTATAATGACAAATATTGGGATCAAAGATATACTGTTGTTCAGCAACAGATTCCCTCATTCTTGCAGAAAATGGCTGACAAAATACTAAGCACAGGTAGGTGAAGATATGCTTCTGATGTAAGAGGAATCCTGAGACAAGTATTACCATTCTTTATGTAATGATAAAGTAAATGTCGTCATGCTTTGCCAGTTTGTGGGGTCCAGCTCAACTTTTTAGAGGAACAGAAGAATCAGATTTAAAAAGAACTCCAAATCCTATAACTGAAACGAGATGTAGGAAGGAGTTCAGCATCAAAGGGAGCTGTCTGTCTTACTGCTCTGTTTCATGGGCACAGTTTTCTAGCAACTAGCTAGATGGAGCTAGAGAACTGATGTTTGAACGTGCTGAGTTTTAATTTGGTGTTTAAATGAAGCTTGCAGCCTGATAGCTGCCGTTGTTCTCTGCCATAAGTACAAGCTCTGCAAAAGCTACTTCTGAACTGCAGCACCAGATCTGCAAAGTTTCTGGGTGTCTGCAGAGATGTTTTGCCACCACTGGGAAACAAAACCCTTTCTACATCTCTCCTTAAATATGACACTAGGTGCCTGATTTAAAATTCTGTATCATCTTTTAAAAGGCATCTAAATCCTTTCCAGCTTTCAGTAGAACTTAGGGTAAACATTTCACAGCATATCTTCCACTTGAGTGTAGTGGTCTGAAAGTTTCCCTGTTGGATATATGGTAGGCATGAATGTGGGTCATTCTTTCTTTTTGCTTCTAGGGAAATATTTAAATGTTGTGCGAGAATGTGGACGTGATGTTACCTGCCCTGTGGCTAAAGAGGTCATCTATACCTTAAAAGAGCGAGCATATGTGGAGCAAATAGAAAAAGCATATAACTATGCTAGCAAAGTTCTTCTGGATTTCCTAATGGAGGAGAAAGAGCTGGTGGCTCACCTAAGGTTTGATTTGTTTTTCTAAATGTATGTTAAATAGATTGGTTCTGATAGTGAACATAAGTTTTTGAAGTTACCTCTCTTTTCTTGGGATGTTATCAATGTATTCTCTCTATTTCCATTAGAAAGGTTGAACTGAAAAAAGAAGATTGGGGTTTTTTCCCAAAGAAAAAAATAACTGTCAAATCATAGAAATGTTGAGTGGGAAGGATGTCTGGGAGTCTGTAGTGCAGCTTCCTTGGAAGGCTGTTGCCAAACCTAGATCAGGGCAGCCATGGCTTTGTCTAGTGCAGTCCCAAAACCTGCCTTCAGGTATGGACATCCCCCACCACGCTCATGGCTTTTCCCACGGCTGCATGTCACTCCCACCCCAGAAGGGAGTTTCCTAATATCATCTGGTATGATCAAGAAGAGTTTAATTTGAATAAGAAATAGTTTAATATGAAGCATCTCACCAAATATATGCCATGGTTATTGTTCATGCAGACGTAGGTAGTTGGAACAGACTAAGTGTATTAGCTCCAAGTTCCACTGCAGGGTTTTTCTTAACATTGTCCTTTTTTAAAGTTCATTTCAACAACCTGTATTTTGATTCTTGTAACACATTCAGCCAATAGCAAATGCAAGTGCATTCTAGCCTGCAAACTCCAGCTTCCTTGTGTGAATCAAGCTTTTAGTTTATTACTATCTTCAAAAAACAGTAAAACCAGGAATCTTAACTATCCAGAAGACCAAGACAGACACAAATAGGTAGGAAATTGCAGTTGGTAGCTGGTTGTAAGGTAGTTTGTAATTGGGCTGAGATCTGGTACCATAGGTTCTGCTTCAAAGTAGTGACGCAGTCTGAAAGAAAGTGTTCTGAGCTTCACAGGACAAACCTGCCAAGTGACTTGCACGAGAAGATGCCCGTTGGGACACATAAGCCAGAGCAGTAGTGGTAACTGAGGTGAATGTGCCCAGCCAGCCAGGCGGGATTGCTTTGGACCTGCTGTTTGCTAGGCCTGAGAAAGTTGTAGCTGCAACAAAGGTATCGGCTCCAGACCTGGGAACACTACAGCTCCAGCTGAGAGAGGTCATGGGAAGACCTGAAGATCCATGGTTCACTCATTTAAAACTGATAGGTGCTTTCCTGACCTGTGAAAACCACCAGAGAACGTGCCTTGTTTTATGAAAGGTTACGAGCGCTGTCTGAAACTTGCCAGTTTCTTCCTAGCCTTTCTATTGATTGTCATCCCTCCAAGTACCTGGAGTACTTAAAAAAAACCAGCACAGATACTTGTTAATTCAAAGGAGTCCAAGATGCTGCTCTGAATTGACAACTGCCTCTTGGATGGATCTGCACACCATGAAGGTCCATGTTGGAGCAAGTCCAGAGGAGGGCACGGAGATGATCAGACAGGCTGAGAGAGTTGGGGTTGTTCAGCCTGGAGATGAGAAGGCTGCGGGGAGACCTTAGAGCCCCTTCCAGTCCCTAAAGGGGCTCCAGGAAAGCTGGAGAGGGGCTGGTGACAAGGGCAGGGAGTGACAGGACAAGGGGAATGTTCAAAGCCAGGTTGGATGGGGCTTTGGGCAACCTGGGCTGGCGGAGGGTGTCCCTGCCCATGGCAGGGGGTGGAACTGGATGGGCTGTGAGGTCCCTTCCCACCTGAACCGTTCTATGATTCTGAGGTCGGGGATAACAACACGAGCAATAGGAGCAATGTTTTTTAAGGTGCATTTTTCAAGGG